GTGTGTGTGTGTGTGTGTTGTGTGTGTGTGTGTGTGTGTGTGTATGTTTGTGTATGTATGTATGTATAGTCATCTTAACGGTTGACGCTTGTGAGTATGTTTGGAACACGGACTCTTTCATGCCGTCAATGACGCACTTGTCGATCATCATTTCGACGTGAAATGTCGTGTTGCCGTTTTGCCGACAGACTTTGCCCGAATCGGTGATGTGCCAATTCTTCAAGGGAAAATGTACGGGGGTGTTGATTTGAAAAACCTTGTCATCACTCTGTGTGGCAAATACATGGTCTACTACAACGACCACGGCTTTATTATCCGGTTGTGTTTCCTTAACGGTGAGCGCATCCTCTCTTATATCCAGTTAATTTACACGGTGAACGTTTGCGCTATCATAGCAATGAACTCCGTCACCCACCGGATGAAGCAGCACCACATTTCTTAGGGTGGCACCATGCTCGAGCTGGAACAATGGCTTCTGCAACTCATCCTGCCCTCCTTCAGTTTTTGTCGGATGACCCTTCTGTGTTTTTGATATTTGCCGTCAAACTTTTGACCGCTCTTTACGATAATGGTATCAAATAGCTGAATCACGTTCGAATCGGACTCGCACATTGTATTCGGCAACCCGGATTTGTTCGAAATTGGATATGGACCGGTCGAATTGTTAGAGTGCAATGTAGTAGACTTTAAATAAAGTGCAAATGTATGTATTTATTTCTGACCTCACCTTTGGTTTTATACCTAAGAGCTAAGGTGTTTGTGCTAGTGTTCAGCCACTTGGGCTGGCCTGGGTAAAAACTCATATGGTCAGTATGAGAAACCTTCTGCAGAACACTTTAACACTTGAAGCTATTCTATATCGATTTCTCTGCAACTAAATCTCACGCTGATCACATGATGCCTTTCCACTTAGGTTGTGACTCACACAGAATCGCAGTTGTTTTTAGATGTTGCGGTTGGCAGACTTAATTCACTCGCGAGAGTTGGTTGAGAAATTTAATCTGCTCTTGGGAGTCGATTAAGTATTATCCCAACTCTCAGGAGTGATTTAAGCAACTTGATTAGCTCTCAGGAGTGAGCTAACTCTGATGGCTTCTATAAATCAAAGAGGGTTTCTTACTGTGAAATCTGACCTGAGACCTGTAGTCTCTCACAAATCCGAATTCGAATCCGAATCCAAATCTGAATCTGATTCTGATTCTGATTCCTGCTACAGTGTACAACTCCAAATTCCGAGATACCTGTACCCAACTTCACAGTCTGCTACAGTGTACGACCCCACCATATCAAATGACCAAACCTACCGGGAGCCGCTAAAATTAAAGCGTAAA